TAAGTTAGCCACCTGCAGTATGGACGACACCGTCAGATTCACGTCCCTGAAGACTCTGGAATATGGGTTAGTGGAGTAACACCTCATGTAATGATGCAAGCCCATTGTTAAGGCTCTAAAAAGCCTCTGTAGGTTGATAAATTCCCACGGCTTCCAGACAGAAGATGATCGGAGAGAGAAGGAGAGGGGGAATGGGGCAAAGTGAGAGGCATAATATCAGTCGATTTTTTTCCATTTGTCCAGTCGTCCAGCTTTGGTGCATATTTTTCAAAGAATGAATTTCACTGATTTTAAAAAACACTTCATCCTTTAAAACAGAAACCAAAACTGTTTTGGCTCACAAATGCAATTGCGTTTTCTGCTGAAACGCTACAGTAGTTAGCCTGAGTCCATCAACAGCACTACGGTGTAACAATTTCCTTAGCAAATTCATGGCATTATTATTTTGCCTTGTGTTTTAATCTAGGGGTGGAGGAAGGATTTGTTGGTTATAAGATAAGGGGGCTAACATGAATCTTCAAGCTCAAATATTGAAATCAATCAGATGGAAAGCAGGTCACAGGGCACCTAGGGACACTATAAAGAAACTGCATTTAACCTCCTAACTCGTAAATCAAATTTGTAATTCTACTTACTGTCAGCTACACAATTCTTATAATGTTAGTTCAGACAATTTAGTATTAGATTAATTAACTATCCCCAAATTGATATTTTTCTTTATTCTCATCACTTATCTGGTTGAAACTGTACTGATATTGTAAGGATAATTTTCTCTTGGTAACTGACGGGAGTTAAAGGGTTAAACATCATTGCTGCGTTTCAATTTATTTTGATTTTTTACTGATTTTTTGTATTTTTCCCGTCAGGTCTGAAAGTACAGGAATGCAAAGTCAGCCGAACGGCCTCGACTGTGGGAAAGATGGTCTCACTGTTGTGGCTTGTTTGAAAGAGGTAAGTTTAAAATAGAATTGTTGCAGCTAACCCGAGGTTGTTTGTGTTGCATTACCTTACCGAGCTCTCGCACTAACTAAAACCCAGTGCGACTTCATTACCCTTGTGTTGCTGCGCTCTTATGTTAAAAATTAAACTGTTTTCTAACAATGTTTACCTTGGTCTGATTGGTCAGTGCAATTACTTTGCGTTTGGTTTGAGCAGTTCCCCCTGTTTGGCGAAGTCCTTCGTGCGAGCAAGAGCCAATTGATATAAAACAAACAAACAAACAAAAAAACAAACAAAAGATGATGTTAACGCGCCGTGCGAAACTGTGAGAGGGAGGCATGCAAACATCAATTTTGATTTTCGCTGCTTTTTTTTGAAAGAACTGATCGTAGTTTACGAACCTTTTGATGGCAACGTTGTTTTCATGGGGTCCTAGGAAACAGTTTTGCGATGCTTATTGCTCCGCAAACGCATTAATTTCATAGTCCTTCCACTTACTATCTAAGGTTTCCTTCTAACAGATTGCAGTGTTACGAGATGGAAACGTTGTGCATTCTCATCCTGTGGACTATGAACCTCAGTGCGTTGCTATCCACCCTGGGCAGACAGAGGTTGCAGTAGGAGGAAAAACGGTACGGCTTAGTCGTGGAGTAACGTGTTTGGATGCCATTCTGAACGCGCAGCAAGGCTTCAAAAACAAAATTTTACATACTCGCTATTTGGGGACCAAAGTCATAAAATGGCTATAGTTTTTGGAGGGTCACCCCGGCGATATCTCAGTGATTAGTACCTTGCAATTTTTTTTCCATGTGCGAGCGGTAATCAGGCGTCACAGTATAGGTGATCAAGGCGCACTGTGCAATACACTTTACTTTGAAATAGAAGAAAGCGAAATTTAAAAATGGCTCAAAAACCCAGAAGGTAAGAGGCAAGAGAACAGTGAAAACAACCCTAATGGATATTTACTATTTGTTAAAGTGATATTAATATCCCTTTTCACTTGTTTTACTAGAACGAAATTCATATTTACACTTTGGACAAAAATACTCTGGTCACCAAGACGAGCTGTTCTCGGTCATCAGCGGTTAATGTAGTGAGTGACTTGGTGTACTCTCCAGATGGTGCTTACCTGGCTGTGGGCGATGATAACCGCAGAGTATCTGTATTTGACTCTGCTGATTATAAGGTATGACATAAGTGTATGGCATACATGCAGCCGATAGCCAGTCTTTGAGAGGCTCCCCCTACCCTTCCCCACTCCCCCCCTTTCCCCACTCCCTCCCTTCCCCCACTCCCTCCCTTGCCCACCCCCTATTTAGCCTTTGGTTTCCCAGGAACTTAAACAGCTATTGACTAAATTTATCGTTTGTTTCATTATTTTGAAGTTGAAGTTTGAGTTGACTGGACCTCAAGCTCGCGTAACTTGTGTAGCGTGGGCACCTGACTCACGGCATCTTGCCTGTGGTGGACTGGACACCAACTTGTTCATTTACGACTTAGAAAAGACCAATGCGAAGATTGAAATAAAACGTAAGCCTAGATTTCTCTAGTAACTGTTTTAATGTTCTATTTTGTAGCCTGTTCAATAGCTTTGAATGTTTGTATTTAAGATATGTGACCCTTCACGATGACGCAAGAAAAAAGGTGACGCGTCAATTTACAGAGCATGCTCATAGTATTTTTTTGATACCGTTTCAGGTGCTCATCCTCAAGGCATCATTTCGCGAGTTACGTGGTTGGATAATAACACACTGGCCAGTGTGGGCTTTGACTGCTGCATCCGTTTCTGGAACATAACTTACTAGATTAATTCCCACCCATCCCTCCCTCGTTTACGTTTCAATTTGTCAGCTTTGTGACTAAAGTAAACCGTAAACACTTCTTCCAGCAAACAAGTGCCATTTTGCGCCAACATTTTTTACAATGCACTTAACTATGTCTGATTATAAGAAAAAATGAGGATTTTTTTTGTTTACATTAAACTGAAGCGTGTAATGTGAATATAAAGAGTTAATATCAAAACTTTAATTTTCAACAAGTTACTTGTATCTGCTTTTCCTTTTCGTATTTCGTCAGCAGAAAAGCAGATGACATCCTTAAATAGAACTTAGGCTGCTGAAAATTAAAAAAATTAACGGGATGGGGGTAATTTTTTGGTGGCTTCACTTTCTTCTGGTCAAGTGCAGAATGAAAATGTGTCCGCAAAGATGGCGTGTTATTTGCTCTCGCGAGCTAAGTGTTCATTATAGATGTGAGGATCTGTTTTCTATGTCACTTGAGAAACTAATTTACCCAACATCAGCAATGTTCCGAACAAACTTCATTTGATTTGAATTTCAAGGCCAGTTTTGGGACGTAGGGATGGGAACTTAAGTTAAGAGTAGAGATACTTCGAAGTGTTCAGATGTTTTAACATTTGTAACTTTGTAAAACTACCCGTTAAGGACGGTGTTTTGATAATCATTTGATTAATAAAAGAAATGCTATTGAGGTTATATTATACGTTATTTTGCTGTAAGTTCTAAGGAAGCAAAATAGGCCCAGCCAAGAAAAAAGATTCGCAGATACTTTTTACGGACTGGGTTCGAGATTTCTGTCTCAGTTAACACGCAGTACCCTAACATCAGTATAGGCACGTTCTCCGCACTGTACACTTTTTTTAAGTTACATCTAAGGAGAATTTGTTTAACACTCCAGAGCTTCTTTAGTTGATGAACATTTTTTTGTCCTCGTAATCTTACATAGTGATTCAGGGCTGATATTGCATGGAAAAACTGACCAATAGATTGGTGGTTACATTCAAGGGAGAGATATTAATAGTTATGAAATGAAAACAAGGATGTTATGGAGCCAGACAGACGGTATTGGTTTCAGACTCTCGCTTTTATTCCTTAGATTGAGGTTATTAAAAATTCTTCCTTATCTGTTAAAGACAAGGCTTCGAGCTCATAACGTTACCGAGGTTTTCGAGAAAAGACAGGTTTGTTAATCCGGGTTCAATTTTAAAGCGGTCCTTCCTTGAAGTTCACAGGTCCATGGCTTTTTCCTCTTCTTCTCCCGTCCCTATCTATGGCTCGTTAAACCGTAAGAGTGATTGGCTTCTAATTTCTCCCAACAGCATCACCCTTGAATCAATTTCAAAGGTCATGAGAATGAAGGAAATGATCATCAATTTAACAAACTCCTGATTGTCAAATAAACTCTCCTCGTCAGTACTATCGGAAATGTAAAGAAAACAGTGTGTAGAGTATAAATACATAAATACTATTGTTACGACGGAAAAGGTAATAGAATGTCTTATGATCGCTACAGGACGGAGGATAAGAAATGCAACATGAATGTGACTAAAGGTACCCATAAAAAATTTGACCCATGTTTGAGTCCACTTTTCCAAAGCCAAGTTTAAAGCATACCTAAGGATTCGAGATATACCGAGTTGAAGCAGAAGGGTAAAGTCCACAGAAGATCAAAAGAAAACTGATTGCTAAGAAAAGAGAAAAATTCTTACACATCGTTCACTTTGGAGAAGGCAAACACGAAGGAGAGGTCTGAGGAAATGTCTTTGGGAGTTCAGCTTTGTGATTGAAAAGTCTTGTATGATTTTTTTTCCTCTTTCTTTTGTTCTTTCTTTCATTCTTTTTTGTTCGAGTCTGATAAATTCAGGGGTAACAACTGTTCCTTCAATCAGCACAGTTAAGTTAATTACCTGAGTGCTGACGGTGGGACGAAGTTGACTGCCACAGAGACATTGAGTAATCAGAAGCAGAACTATTGGCATTTAATTTCTTCTATGTTTCAGCTAACAATAACAACTTTTTAACGTATCTTGTCTGACAGGACACCGATAAAATCATCAATAAATATGTCAATTTGTATTATTATGATTATGATTATTATTATTATTATTATTATTATTACTATAATATTATGATCACATATAATTATTATAATTTTTGTTGCTTCATTCAAAGTTTTTTAAATTTATGCATTCTACAAATAAAATTCGTATAAAGCCTGTAAAAGGAATCTTAACCAAGGCTGGCTCTTGCCTATGCGAGCCACTAGTTTCCAGAAGGAGCAGTATAGAGCTTGTAACTGCGAACAGCACTGCGCTTTTTCTTCTTCCAGGCGAGGATCGACCCACAAGTGACACAAAAAACCACAGAAACAACAACTACAGCAGCAACGAGAGTGCTGTATGGACCTGTTATGGAGAAAGAACTTCATTAGGTTGGTATTTGCCAGAAAAATTCGCACCGTCTTATCAATAGAATCCTTTGACAGTTAGGACGGCAACGCTAAGGAAGACGTCGATTTAAAAATGAATATATATTTTTAGTCGGAATCTCGCGAATTACTGGATGTGTTTATTATGGCGCCGTAAGAGATAATAAACACATGTGGAACTTAACGCTTCTTTTATACGTTATCCTGAAGTTGGTGTGGCGCCGTATGAGACGGTAAACAAATGCAGCCATTTGTAAAATTCTAATTAAAGGCAGAAATTCATTTTTTAATCGAATTTTTCCTTGGCGTTGCCGTCCTGACTGCTTGAGGTCCCTAATCTCACAAGCGAGGCACGAAAACGTAAATCCCCACGAGTCGAACCCAGACCTTCGGAATCCGCGCCTCTACGGTGACCTAGGTTATCAATAGTTTTACATGTCACACGCATCCTGCATACAGCCAGGATCAGCAATATCGAAAGCGTATCAAAATTAAATGGAACGAGAAAGATGGCAAATTTTAAATTTCGAAAGGGAATAGTTAGTGGTGTCTCGTCGTGGTAATGAAATTAAGAAAGATACATTTTCTTTTATCTTGCTTTGTTTCTTTGCCGAGCTCAAAATTTACCAATCTTCCTTACTCATGCTAGATAACGCACAGCGTGCAAAAAGTAACATGTACATGTTATATCTTATGGTGGTTAACAACAATTCAGAATAACTCGTTTTCATAAAAATTCCGATTGCAATTTAAGTCAAAGTTTCGCTATTTTTGAAGCATGAAAAGCTTACCACTACTTTGAACTTCGGTGATCTCTATTGGCTTGTCGGACTCCGTTTCATCGTCATCATCTTCTGCACGTACGAATGGTCCCTGAGCCAGGATATACTCCTCGTCATTCGTCTCCCGAGTATTCAGCGATCTCTTCCTTCTCGCTTCACGCAAACAGCCCTTTGCGCAGCGTGACTTAGGGTCTGTTGCGTTACAGATCTTGACCTTGCAGTGCAAGTACGCAAACTGATGATCACCCAAGAACTTGAACGCCGCCAGGCTAAACTTCTGACTTCTTTCATCATTTGATGGAAGGAACTTCAAGGTATCGTCTACAGCACAACTGTAAGAGACGTCACGATAATTAATTGGCGATTGCATGACACAGATCGCTATTTCAGCTGTGGGCAGTCATGGCAAGTTGAAAACAAAAATTCCACGAAAATTTTGTTATTGTATTGTCGTAACTTTTCGCAACAATTTACATACATTACAACAATAAACCTAATCATGGACACCGTTAATACCAAAAATTATTGAAGTGCCTATTGAGCAAAGTCATGTTACCAAAAACCGTTTTTTTAAGAATGTAGTATCCATCTATAAGACACGAGTTTGAAATGTTTCATTTCAACGGAATTATCGCTCGAACAATTCAGTATCGTCTTGAATAGTGTTTTATTATCAAGTAGTAGATCAAGTAGGGGAAAGATTATGGAACAAATGGTCAGTATTGCCTGGCATCTAGTCTGCCAATGTCTCGGAAGGAAAGTGCGATGGAAGAGAAAATTTCTCGGATGAAGAGAGAATGGAGAAAAGAAATAGAGAGATGCGGCCCTTACTTGGTGTAGAAGACCCAGTTCAAAAAAAACTAGATAAACAATAGGTTAGGTGTTCTATTATGATGTCTCTCCTGTGTCTCCTACACCAAGAAGGAGCCAGAGCTACTTGTACAAGTCATGTAAAAAACTAATAACAGAAAGCGACTTTCTCATACCCATCGCTGATGAACAAGTATTTTAATCCAGGTTTAATAGGATTAGGATCAGGTGTGCCAAAACATGTTTCGGCCAAAATCTCGAGCTTCAAGTCTTCTGTATCCACGTTGACTTCCACGTACAGAATTTTTCCCGAAGGTACAGTCACTGGAAAGTCTTCGCTTTTGTAATTGTCGATATACCTGTTATCGGGGAAGGTCTTCATTTCTAAAGCAAATTCTCCAAATCCATCTTTGGAGAGAACGATCTTTTTACTTTCGACTTTGAGAGCAACAGAGGAAACGATACCGGTGTTTGAGTAGCAACAGCTGAAGGGTATTTCAACTTCGCGCACACGCGTGATTATCGGTTGGTGTTCGACAGATATCTTCAACACCTTGTTTCTGTAACAGAAAGAATTCTTGGTATCCCTGCTCGTTGTGTGGCATTCCTTTAGTTCTGTGCGAAGAATGAAGTGAGTTTGGGTCTCTGTGGCTCCACAATTCATATCACTGAGACGGAGATGATCCACTCTTATGCCCGGAAGAAATTTCTTTGGAATGCTGATGAACATCTCGTCTTTAACACAAGTAACATTTACTCCTGAAGAAAGATCAGATATTGAATAGAAGAGAAGCAAAAAAAGCATTACTAAGAGTTACGAAGAGGCCATTATCTAAATTGAACAATGGATATATGTGTCAGGTGGAATTCAAGGCCCTATTCACACTTGGCGGGATACAGTTAGAACTCCGTACAAACTTTTCCGCTCATTGGAAAACAGATTAGAAGCTTTCAAATCCATATTAAGTTGGAAATATCTGAAGAACGACATTCACTGGCGGTAGAAACGCTTGGCTGCAATTTTGATCGGGTGCAAAAATAGAAAATCGACGTCAGTTTTGGTTTAGTGAAGACGTTAATGATAGCAGGCTACCTATTTTATGAACTTTCTATAACGCAACTTTATTGAGCGTCGTGAATTCAAAACCAAAGTAAACCAAAAGGCCAATCAGAAATTACCACCAAGAATCAATAAAAATTCGTAGTAAAAACAAACAAACTCCTTCAGGAAAACGCGAGTGACAAAGTCTAAATTGGTTTTGTTTTTTTGTTGCGTCTGATTGGCTGAGAGGGTGGCGCGAATTTCCAGACCAATCACAGAGCGGAGTGAGGCTGAAACAAGAGGAATACTGGGTAAGATTTGACACTCATGATCATTAAAACAATGCTCGAGATGATACGTTACCTGGTGACTGTGTTGGTTCTATGATTGGTGGCTGAGTTGTAGGCGCTGCAAAAAGGAATAAAGAAACTTGAATTCTCACACGAGCAAAAGTAAAGCCTTGATGCTGTGTTTAGGCAAGTAAAAAGAAAATTCTTACCTTCTTTGTTCCCACAATAGCGTAATGAACACGCCGGAGGCTTTCGAAGCTCGTACACATAGAAGTCGCCGCAGTTTCGGATTTTAACGCTATTTTTCCATTGACAACATCCACCTGTCCAGTGATAACAGACTTGACGAGCTACCACACCTTCTTGCAAACGTGGATGTTTACCATTAAGCCAGCCTGGAGCGTGAGTACCGCAGCGTCTCATGGGTACACATTTCTCTGGAATCTGGTCACCACTTTCTCCCGTCATACGATACCACTTTGGTACCAGTATGTTATCAGGAGCTCTTCCATCGCACTGAACCCTACTTTGGTTAGAGTTACCCATTGCACGATCAGCTTGGTTTAGTTCTTGGTAGCCGCCAACAGAACATTCCGTGGCCTCTCCTGCAAAGTAACCATGATTTATTCCAAATTCACTCTAAAGTTAGGAGAAGGTAAGTGAAAGAAGAGTAACTTCGCAAGTGAATCAGTGAAAGACTGTTCCATTACTTGGCTTTTTATTCATGACATAACAATCTCACTTTCCATGCGAATTTTGAGCCCAAGAAGCTAAATACTCACCGCAGTATCGAAGTGAGCACGCAGGTGGTTTTTGCAGCTCATACAAATAAAATGCACCGCAATTCTTCACATTTATCTTGTTTTTCCATCGACAGCAGTTTTTTGACCAGTGATAACAAACGTCACGGCTTACTATACCATCTGCGACAGACGGATGCTTTCCATTCAGCCAACCGGGCGCATGCGTACCACAGCGTTTTGTTTCAGGACATTTAGTTGGCATTCTGTCCCCAGCTGCACCAGTGAAGCGAAACCAGCCCGGGAGAGCGACATCTCGCTGATCACACTTCACTGAGCTTTGATCTTTGTTTCCCACAAGACGGTCGTAAGTGTTGAGGAGCTTGTATTTCCCACGAGAACATGGGTTGAATACTGAGGAAAACATCATAATTTAAAATATTAATGAGACTAAAACATGTGACCTCTCGCTATGACCTTTAAGTGAGTATGAGCCGTACAGGTATACCTGTTCTAGGGATCTTAGACTGTCTTAGACATACTTAAACTAGAGGAACTCTAAACTTTGGAAAAACTTTTGAATGCAATGACTAGAGAGCGAAAGATTTTTGGATGGAAAAGTGTTCCGTGAGGTTAATTTAAACAAAGGTGTTCACTCTTCCTGGTTTACTTTCATTCAATGGTTAGAGACATATCTAAGAGAGCAACCCTCAGCTGAGGGCGGCGCTTGAATTTCATCATATTACAACAAAACCACTGAGATTTTTGAACAAAATGTTTCAACGCTGCTTGTTTGAGTTACCTGGGTTTGGCGCTGTAGTCGGTGGTGGCAGCGTAATGAGCTCTGAAAAAGAATTCCATAAACTTTAGACTATGCAAAAGTTATTTATGGCTACTAAGGTTAAAGATCCCAAAGTAAGTCTTTCCTCGGACTACATGCCTCACTTCGCCATAACTTATCCTGGTTTCCAAAGTGAAAAGCAATATACCTCTTCAGCTTGCATGTTTTATTTTCCCAGCGTAGGAAATGTGATGATACACTTGAGAACTGTTTCTTTCCAATTTCCTTTTATTCACGTGCATATGAACGTTTAATTAACTAAAGACAAAGGCAGAAATCTCCTTAATACTCTTACTGAGAAGAAAAAACAAACAAGCAAAAGAGATTCATCAGGAGAATTCTAATTCCTCTGGATGAGATTCTACTCCATTGCATGTAGTTTTCCACCATTTCTAAAGTTTACCGAGACACCAGGAACAATTTGCAATCACGATAAAGGGGGAGAGGGAGGGGGGAGCAGGGGGCATCGTATTTGTATAGTCTATCGCCAGGAGAAAATTATGAGAATCTTGATATTGCGTAGGAACACAATATGAAAACACAGCCTGACCTCCAACCCGGATCTTTTAACTTTGAGGTCATCAGGCTAAGTCTTAGGCCACCAAGATTGCCACACCAACGTAATCTAACTGGAAGTGATTATCATCGCTATTTATGTCATTTCTATACCACCAAAACACAGAGTAGGGGGGGTCTTTGCGAGAAGGTTGACTTTATATAACGTTTTCAAGTGGCAAAGCAACAACAAAACAACGCCTGTACAAAAAAATATTCTTTAGTAATTCCTTTGGATAGAGGATGAAATAACTAACTCTTACCTCCTTTATTTCCACAGTAACGTAACGAACACGCTGGTGGTTTTTGCAGCTCGTACACATAAAAATCACCACAATTTCGGATCTTAATGTTCTGTTTCCATTGACAACATCCGCGTGTCCAATGATAACAGACTTGACGAGCTACCACACCTTCCCGGAGACTTGGATGTTTACCATTAAGCCAGCCTGGAGCATGAGTACCGCAGCGTCTCATGGGTACACATTTCTCTGGAATCTGGTCACCACTGTCTCCCGTCATACGATACCACTTTGGTACCAGTATGTTATCTGGAGCTCTTCCATCGCACTGAACCCTACTTTGGTCAGAGTTACCCATTGCACGATCAGCTTGGTTAAGTTCTTGGTAGCCGCCAACAGAACATTCCGTGGCCTCTCCTGCAAAGTAACCATGATTTATTCAAATTTCACTCTAAAGTTAGGAGAAGGTAAGTGAAAGAAGAGTAACTTCGCAAGTGAATCAGTGAAAGACTGTTTCATTACTTGGCTTTTTATTCATGACATAACAATCTCACTTTCCATGCGAATTTTGAGCCCAAGAAGCTAAATACTCACCGCAGTATCGAAGTGAGCACGCAGGTGGTTTTTGCAGCTCATACAAATAAAATACACCGCAATTCTTCACATTTATCTTGTTTTTCCATCGACAGCAGTTTTTTGACCAGTGATAACAAACGTCACGGCTTACTATACCATCTGCGACAGACGGATGCTTTCCATTCAGCCAACCGGGCGCATGCGTACCACAGCGTTTTGTTTCAGGACATTTAGTTGGCATTCTGTCCCCAGCTGCACCAGTGAAGCGAAACCAGCCCGGGAGAGCGACATCTCGCTGATCACATTTCACTGAGCTTTGATCTTTGTTTCCCACAAGACGGTCGTATGTGTTGAGGAGCTTGTATTTCCCACGAGAACATGGGTTGAATACTGAGAAAAACATCATAATTTAAAATATTAATGAGACTTAAACATGTGGCCTCTCGCTATGACCTTTGAGTGAGTATGAGCCGTACAGGTATATCTGTTCTAGGGATCTTAGACTGTCTTAGACATACTTAAACTAGAGGAACTCTAAACTTTGGAAAAACTTTTGAATGCAATGACTAGAGAGCGAAAGATTTTTGGATGGAAAAGTGTTCCGTGAGGTTAATTTAAACAAAGGTGTTCACTCTTCCTGGTTTACTTTTATTCAATGGTTAGGGACGTATATAAAAGAGCGACCCTCAGCTGAGGGCGGCGCTTGAATTTCATCATATTATAACAAAACCACTGAGATTTTTGAACAAAATGTTTCAACGCTGCTTGTTTGAGTTACCTGGGTTTGGCGCTGTAGTCGGTGGTGGCAGCGTAATGAGCTCTGAAAAAGAATTCCATAAACTTTAGACTATGCAAAAGTTATTTATGGCTACTAAGGTTAAAGATCCCAAAGTAAGTCTTTCCTCGGACTACATGCCTCACTTCGCCATAACTTATCCTGGTTTCCAAAGTGAAAAGCAATATACCTCTTCAGCTTTCATGTTTTATTTTTCCAGCGTAGGAAATGTGATGATACACTTGAGAACTGTTTCTTTCCAATTTCCTTTTATTCACGTGCATATGAACGTATAATTAACTAAAGACAAAGGCAGAAATCTCCTTAATACTTTTACTGAGAAGAAAAAACAAACAAGCAAAAGAGATTCATCAGGAGAATTCTAATTCCTCTGGATGAGATTCTACTCCATTGCATGTAGTTTTCCACCATTTCTAAAGTTTACCGAGACACCAGGAACAATTTGCAATCACGATGAAGGGGGGGGGGGGGGGGGAGAAGGGGGCATTGTATTTGTATAGTCTATCGCCAGGAGAAAATAATGGGAATCTTGATATTGCGTAGGAACACAATATGAAAACACAGCCTAACCTCCAACCTGGATCTTTTAACTTTGAGGTCATCAGGCTCAGTCTTAGGTCACCGCGTTTGCCACATGAACATAATCTTACCGGAAGTGAGTATCATCGCTATTTACGTCATTTCTATACCACCAAAACACAGACAATTTTTCTTCAATGAGTAGAGGGGTCTTTGCGAGAAGGTTGACTTTATATAACGTTTTCAAGTGGCAAAGCAACAACAAAACAACGCCTGTACAAAAAAAATACTCTTTAATAATTCCTTTGGATAGAGGATGAAATAACAAACTCTTACCTCCTTTGTTTCCACAGTAACGTAACGAACACGCTGGTGGTTTTTGCAGCTCGTACACATAGAAGTCGCCGCAGTTTCGGATTTTAACGCTATTTTTCCATTGACAACATCCACCCGTCCAGTGATAACAGACTTGACGAGCTACCACACCTTCTTGCAAACGTGGATGTTTACCATTAAGCCAGCCTGGAGCGTGAGTACCGCAGCGTCTCATGGGAACACATTTCTCTGGAATCTGGTCACCACTGTCTCCCGTCATACGATACCACTTTGGTACCAGTATGTTATCTGGAGCTCTTCCATCGCACTGAACCTTACTTTGGTTAGAGTTACCCATTGCACGATCAGCTTGGTTAAGTTCTTGGTAGCCGCCAACAGAACATTCTGTGGCCTCTCCTGCAAAGTAACCATGATTTATTCAAATTTCACTCTAAAGTTAGGAGAAGGTAAGTGAAAGAAGAGTAACTTCGCAAGTGAATCAGTGAAAGACTGTTCCATTACTTGGCTTTTTATTCATGACATAACAATCTCACTTTCCATGCGAATTTAGAACCCAAGAAGCTAAATACTCACCGCAGTATCGAAGTGAGCACGCAGGTGGTTTTTGCAGCTCATACAAATAAAATGCACCGCAATTCTTCACATTTATCTTGTTTTTCCATCGACAGCAGTTTTTTGACCAGTGATAACAAACGTCACGGCTTACTATACCGTCTGCGACAGACGGATGCTTTCCATTCAGCCAACCGGGCGCATGCGTACCACAGCGTTTTGTTTCAGGACATTTAGTTGGTATTCTGTCCCCAGCTGCACCAGTGAAGCGAAACCAGCCCGGGAGAGCGACATCTCGCTGATCACATTTCACTGAGCTTTGATCTTTGTTTCCCACAAGACGGTCGTATGTGTTGAGGAGCTTGTATTTGCCACGAGAACATGGGTTGAATACTAAAAAAACATAATTTAAAATATTAATGAGACTTAAACATGTGACCTCTCGCTATGACCTTTGAGTATGAGCCGTACAGGTATACCTGTTCTAGGGATCTTAGACTGTCTTAGACATACTTAAACTAGAGGAACTCTAAACTTTGGAAAAACTTTTGAATGCAATGATTAGAGAGCGAAAGATTTTTGGATGGAAAAGTGTTCCGTGAGGTTAATTTGAACAAAGGTGTTCACTCTTCCTGGTTTACTTTCTTTCAATGGTTAGGGACATATCTAAGAGAGCAACCCTCAGCTGAGGGCGGCGCTTGAATTTCATCATATTACAACAAAACCACTGAGATTTTTGAATAAAATGTTTCAACGCTGCTTGTTTGAGTTACCTGGGTTTGGCGCTGTAGTCGGTGGTGGCAGCGTAATGAGCTCTGAAAAAAATTCCATAAACTTTAGACTATGCAAAAGTTATTTATGGCTACTAAGGTTAAAGATTCCAAAGCAAGTCTTTCCTCGGACTACATGCCTCACTTTGCCATAACTTATCCTGGTTTCCAAAGTGAAAAGCAATAAACCTCTTCAGCTTTCATGTTTTATTTTTCCAGCGTAGGAAATGTGATGATACGCTTGAGAAATGTTACTTTCCAATTTCCTTTTATTTACGTGCATATGAACGCATAATTAACTAAAGACAAAGGCAGAAATCTCCTTAATACTTTTACTGAGAAGAAAAAACAAACAAGCAAAAGAGATTCATCAGGAGAATTCTAATTCCTCTGGATGAGATTCTACTACATTGCATGTAGTTTTCCACCATTTCTAAAGTTTACTGAGACACCAGGAACAATTTGCAATCACGATGAAGGGGGAGGGGGGGAGTGGGGGGAAGGGGGCATTGTATTTGTATAGTCTTTCCCCAGGAGAAAATAATGGGAATCTTGATATTGCGTAGGAACACAATATGAAAACACAGCCTGACCTCCAACCCGGATCTTTTAACTTTGAGGTCATCAGGCTTAGTCTTAGACCTCGGCGTTTGCCACATCAACATAATCTAACCGGAAGTGAGTATCATCGTTATTTACGTCATTTCTATACCACCAAAACACAGACAATTTTTCTACAATGAGTAGAGGGGTCTTTGCGAGAAGGTTGACTTTATATAACGTTTTCAAGTGGCAAAGCAACAACAAAACAACGCCTGTACAAAACAAATACTCTTTAGTAATTCCTTTGGATAGAGGATGAAATAACTAACTTTTACCTCCTTTGTTTCCACAGTAACGTAACGAACACGCTGGCGGTTTCTGCAGCTCGTACACATAAAAATCACCACAATTACGGATCTTAATGTTCTGTTTCCATTGACAACATCCGCGTGTCCAATGGTAACAGACTTGACGAGCTACAACACCTTCCCGGAGACTTGGATGTTTACCATTAAGCCAGCCTGGAGCATGAGTACCGCAGCGTCTCATGGGTACACATTTCTCTGGAATCTGGTCACCACTGTCTCCCGTCATACGATACCACTTTGGTACCAGTATGTTATCAGGAGCTCTTCCATCGCACTGAATCCTACTTTGGTCAGAGTTACCCATTGCACGATCAGCTTGGTTAAGTTCTTGGTAGCCGCCAGCAGAACATTCCGTGGCCTCTCCTGCAAAGTAACCATGATTTATTCAAATTTCACTCTAAAGTTAGGAGAAGGTAAGTGAAAGAAGAGTAACTTCGCAAGTGAATCAGTGAAAGACTGTTCCATTACTTGGCTTTTTATTCATGACATAACAATCTCACTTTCCATGCAAATTTTGAGCCCAGGAAGCTAAATACTCACCGCAGTATCGAAGTGAGCACGCAGGTGGTTTTTGCAGCTCATACAAATAAAATGCACCGCAATTCTTCACATTTATCTTGTTTTTCCATCGACAGCAGTTTTTTGACCAGTGATAACAAACGTCACGGCTTACTATACCATCTGCGACAGACGGATGCTTTCCATTCAGCCAACCGGGCGCATGCGTACCACAGCGTTTTGTTTCAGGACATTTAGTTGGCATTCTGTCCCCAGCTGCACCAGTGAAGCGAAACCAGCCCGGGAGAGCGATATCTCGCTGATCACACTTCACTGAGCTTTGATCTTTGTTTCCCACAAGACGGTCGTATGTGTTGAGGAGCTTGTATTTCCCACGAGAACATGGGTTGAATACTGAGAAAAACATAATTTAAAATATTAATGAGACTTAAACATGTGACCTCTCGCTATGACCTTTGAGTATGAGCCGTACAGGTATACCTGTTCTAGGGATCTTAGACTGTCTTAGACATACTTAAACTAGAGGAACTCTAAACTTTGGAAAAACTTTTGAATGCAATGATTAGAGAGCGAAAGATTTTTGGATGGAAAAGTGTTCCGTGAGGTTAATTTAAACAAAGGTGTTCACTCTTCCTGGTTTACTTTCTTTCATAGTTAGGGACATATCTAAGAGAGCAACCCTCAGCTGAGGGCGGCGCTTGAATTTCATCATATTACAACAAAACCACTGAGATTTTTGAATAAAATGTTTCAACGCTGCTTGTTTGAGTTACCTGGGTTTGGCGCTGTAGTCGGTGGTGGCAGCGTAATGAGCTCTGAAAAAGAATTCCATAAACTTTAGACTATGCAAAAGTTATTTATGGCTACTAAGGTTAAAGATCCCAAAGTAAGTCTTTCCTCGGACTACATGCCTCACTTTGCCATAACTTATCCTGGTTTCCAAAGTGAAAAGCAATATACCTCTTCAGCTTGCATGTTTTATTTTTCCAGCGTAGGAAATGTGATGATACGCTTGAGAAATGTTACTTTCCAATTTCCTTTTATTTACGTGCATATGAACGCATAATTAACTAAAGACAAAGGCAGAAATCTCCTTAATACTTTTACTGAAAAGAAAAAAAAAACAAGCAAAAGAGATTCATCAGGAGAATTCTAATTCCTCTGGATGAGATTCTACTACATTGCATGTAGTTTTCCACCATTTCTAAAGTTTACTGAGACACCAGGAACAATTTGCAATCACGATGAAGGGGGAGGGGGGGAGTGGGGAGAAGGGGGCATTGTATTTGTATAGTCTTTCCCCAGGAGAAAATAATGGGAATCTTGATATTGCGTAGGAACACAATATGAAAACACAGCCTGACCTCCAACCCGGATCTTTTAACTTTGAGGTCATCAGGCTTAGTCTTAGACCTCGGCGTTTGCCACATCAACATAATCTAACCGGAAGTGAGTATCATCGTTATTTACGTCATTTCTATACCACCAAAACACAAACAATTTTTCTACAATGAGTAGAGGGGTCTTTGCGAGAAGGTTGACTTTATAAAACGTTTTCAAGTGGCAAAGCAACAACAAAACAACGCCTGTACAAAAAAAATACTCTTTAGTAATTCCTTTGGATAGAGGATGAAATAACTAACTTTTACCTCCTTTGTTTCCACAGTAACGTAACGAACACGCTGGCGGTTTCTGCAGCTCGTACACATAAAAATCACCACAATTACGGATCTTAATGTTCTGTTTCCATTGACAACATCCGCGTGTCCAATGATAACAAACTTGACGAGCTACCACACCTTCCCGGAGACTTGGATGTTTACCATTAAGCCAGCCTGGAGCGTGAGTACCGCAGCGTCTCATGGGTACACATTTCTCTGGAATCTGGTCACCACTGTCTCCCGTCATACGATACCACTTTGGTACCAGTATGTTATCTGGAGCCCTTCCATCGCACTGAACCTTACTTTGGTTAGAGTTACCCATTGCACGATCAGCTTGGTTAAGTTCTTGGTAGCCGCCAACAGAACATTCTGTGGCCTCTCCTGCAAAGTAACCATGATTTATTCCAAATTCACTCTAATGTTAGGAGAAGGCAAGTGAAAGAAGAGTAACTTCGCAAGTGAATCAGTGAAAGACTGTTCCATTACTTGGCTTTTTATTCATGACATAACATCTCACTTTCCATGCGAATTTTGAGCCCAGGAAGCTAAATACTCACCGCAGTATCGAAGTGAGCACGCAGGTGGTTTTTGCAGCTCATACAAATAAAATGCACCGCAATTCTTCACATTTATCTTGTTTTTCCATCGACAGCAGTTTTTTGACCAGTGATAACAAACCTCACGGCTTACTATACCATCTGCGACAGACGGATGCTTTCCATTCAGCCAACCGGACGCATGCGTACCACAGCGTTTTGTTTCAGGACATTTAGTTGGCATTCTGTCCCCAGCTGCACCAGTGAAGCGAAACCAGCCCGGGAGAGCGACATCTCGCTGATCACATTTCACTGAGCTTTGATCTTTGTTTCCCACAAGACGGTCGTATGTGTTGAGGAGCTTGTATTTGCCACGAGAACATGGGTTGGAAGCTGGAGATAAAAAATGAATGGTTAATCAAATCCATTCATCGAATTCCGTAGTTAGTGGCCACGGAATTTAAATTGATCTAGCAGCGGCAATAATTTTGGATTTCGTTCGCTATTGTGAATAATATTTTTGTTGGCTTAACTGAGGCTCGTTAAGTCGCACAATGAAATGATTACAAAGCGTGCCATGATCATTTGTAGCCCATCATCTTGCAAATTATACAATAAACGTAATTATACTCGCATTTTGATTGGTATCTCGCCATTATCTGTCAGAGGACAAACGCATCCTGTGGACGTGTAATTCTTTCAACTTCAAATAAATAGTGTTTTCTTTTCACCTAAACACAAAGAAATTTTTCATAGATCTAATTGTTACGTTTTGGTCACGTTCTTTCGAACTTGAGAGGGTTATTGCGGTTTCCATTTTTTGTTTTATTTCTCATTAGTCTCATTATAAAGAAGCAACGTAGTCTAATTCCATACCAAAGTTTTTTGGATCATCCTCAGGTTCCCCTCCTTCATCTGTTATTCCATCAACAATTGTGCCAGCTGAGATTTTATCAGTATCAAACCCCGCATCTTCAGGACTAAACTCTTCACCATGGACCACAGAATTTTCATTTAGCTGATCATCCTTTTCACTGTCCTCGTCTTTCTCTGGCAGATTTCCTTCGTCTTCAACGGGCTGGTTATTATTTAGTGCAACGGGATGTTTGAAAAATCTCTTCCAAGGTTCTTCAGTGTCTCCTTTATCACCTATTGATTGAAATGTACGTTATTTAAAATCCATCATTGTTTGTTGCCAGCTGTTTAACAGTTAATATAAATCTCAAGACAGTTTCAATATAAATATACATACATACCAAAATGTGATGGATCTTCCTCTGGTTCAGCTGGTTCATCTCTCACTTCATCAGTGGTTGCTTTTTTTGGATCTTCAGCAGGGTCAAACCCTACATCTTTTGGACCAAACTCTTCATCACTGATCACAGACATTCCAACTTCCTGCTCATCCTGTTTGATATTCTGTTCTTGTTCCAGAGGCTCTCCCTTGTCTTCAACTAGCTGGACATCGACTTCTACAATGGAATCCTCGAAAGGGTCCTCTGAAGCCCCATCGTTATTTTCTTTATCACCTGTTCATTTAAAATTGTACTCACAATCCATCGACATGTCACAGGAACAGCGCCAGATTCAGGCAAGAAATACGATAACATTTTCAATCGATTACGAAATGGATTAATCTTGAAAAAAGGAAAAACAAACGAAATACGTAAAACAGGCTGTGAATGGTTCGTAGTTTTATTTCTTGTCTAGAAGTCTCTCGACCGTCCTACAATTCAGTGTTGATGCATATAAAGAAAATTTTATTTTTCTGAATTCATTTTTTCAGCCATATGCTTACTTTGTGTGCATTCAGTTTTCCGCGATATTTGTTTTTTCATGGAAATTTTTTTGCAGCTTTTGTGATAACTTAGAGGCCCAGTCCCCCACCTTAAAGAAGCAATTGTACTACTTACCATGTAATACTGGATCCTCCTCTGGTTCATTTTCTTCACCTTTCCTTTCATCAATGGTCACTCTGGATGGATCTTCATCAAAATCAAACGCCACATCTTTTGGATCAAACCCCTCTTCTTCTTCCGCCTCCTGATCATCCTCCTCACTTTTCTTGTCATGTTGCAGAAGATTTCCTTCGTCCCCAACAGGTTTGTTAACTATTATCTTTGGATTTTTAGGAGAATTTTCAGAATCTCCACCAGAATCTCCCCCAGAATCTCCTATGAAACCTAATTAGTCAGAAGTTTGTTAAAAATGCATCAATATTATTGTCCAAAGAAAACTTCGACGCAAGACGTGAATTTTTGCAACAGATAATCAACGAAACAAGTACCAGTTGAGTAGCTAATCCCGATAAGTTTAAGACGAGAAACTAAAATTTTTGTGCCGTTAATTTCTCTTGCAGGATTGTAATTGCGTAAACATATAGTAAGGCAGGGAAACGCAGGGCGGTCTTCTTACCGGGGTAGGACGCGTCCATATTTATCTTTTACATTTTTTTTAAAACTTTCCTTCTGTGAATTTCGCACATGCCACTTGATACTGTAGCACAATAGAATTACCTCAGAAAATAAAATTTCGACGCGTTTGAAGAAATTCGCAGGCAGTTTCGGAGTTTTACACAAATTTCAGGCCTGCATTGTGAAAGCAAGTCTCTAACTACAGGTATGAGCCTTTTTATGTAGATCTTACATTAAAAATATGGTGGCAATTGCGTATGGAAGCTAAAATATATATTAAGAAATAACCGTAAAAAATCTTCAATGATAATTCGAACGCCCACCTATTGTTTTAATAAGAAAAAGCACGAGTGTTGAAAAAATGATTTGATGAGAGAAAATTTGTTAGTCTTGCTTTTACAACACCTTTTGTTATTCAAATGACTAGGTGCGAGAATCTCGAAAAAAGTTTCAAAAATCAGTTCTTTGCAGACCGCAATTTAGAAACCCATTCTATTTTACACTTCAGAAACAACATCTCGCAGAATAGTCTTACACGTAATAATAGAAATCTTCCAGCGTTATTTAACTATCTTTATCACCTGAATTTGCTTCACACTCCGTCGTAAGCTCCAAGAAATTGGACACGTGTCTAAAGCGTATTGGTAAGTAGATTTTCACGGGAATTACAAAAGACTAAGAACAATTCAACCCAAAAAGATTCGTCTCGTGAATCTTCTGATGTGAACATTACACAGCAAATTACGAAGCAAATAGAGCGCATTTTAGAACTGCATGAGATGGAACTATGCTGAACTACCGCGGTAGTGCGTGTTAATACCTATTTTTAAGCGATACACCGTAAACGAATTGCCTGGAATATTACCTTGAATGTCTTTGCCTGAGAGTTCAAAAGCTCCTGCACACAGCAAAAAACAGCTTAAAAGTAGAACCTCGCGATTGTTCATGATGTCGTGAACTCCTCCAGAAGCTCTCACAGTCCTATACGGCTGAGGTATGCATCAGCAACAACAACCAAACTTAATTAATCAATGCGGAAGAAGTACTCCTTTTTATCTGCAGGTTGACCAATCAGAGAGCTGTATTGTATAAAGGTTATGACCCTCATCCAATCAGATTGTCGTTTTTCACGCTTTTCGTCATGTGAACACGGGTAGAGTGATAACCGCTGGGCGAAAGCAAAGTTAAAGTAGTCAAGGAAACGAATGATGTGAAATCGCACGGACTTGTAGCAGTTTTCTTACAGCAGAAAATATGTCAATCATTTTTAGACAAAAGTAACAATGATAAATTTATATTTTTAAAGCTCAGTGAATGATACCGGATTACACGTCATCACAAATTTCAGCGCAGACACAAATAAAATATATTGACTCGTTTGCTTAAGTAAGATGTATCCTGAAGATAGAATATAGGGCCTAGCAGCTGTGCCGTGAAAAACAATACCTCCATCTCGTGGCTAAAATGTCAGTTCTCTCTAATCAGTTGCAAAGGGTCGTTATTTCCACGAATTCTAACTCAGACAGCGGTTTTACACAAGAGGTGGGCCTCAGGGATTCTCCATAAGAGGTTGATTTATCTGTTCACTATTAACTTTCGGCCCTCTTGACACTGTTCATAAAAATAAATGTTTAGATTAAAGGTTCGGCTGAGGAAGAACGCTTAGAAAAACTGGCCCCTACATTTTGTGTTGATTATTCATTTGGCGAAATGTTCTTGGCGAGTTTTGGGTGGGTATGCAAGAAAGGCGAGAGGGGGGGCCTTTTTTTGCGTCAAATGATTGTGCTGTTTCAACTCCTGCTTACAGGTGAAACAGCGAGAGAGTAATAACTTAAATTAGGAGACAACGCTGTTTTAAAACCAAGGTAGAGTAAAGTAGACAGCATATGTTACTGTTCCGTTACGGCGCAAGGAAAACAAGGAAGGAGGCGTAGTTTCTCAAATATAGTTAACTTCACTGCGTCTCATCATCTTACGAAAGAAAAAAAAACTATGAAAATTAAAGCTCGGGGAAAGCATCACCGGTGGCGGGTCAAGCTTGAGTAGTCCCTTTTGACGCGCGGTTCTTTCTTTATTTCACTTGATTCATCGACTCGTTTCTTATCGTTGGTCATCGGTCCCAAAGAATTCGTAACATAGTATTGCGAAAAAATGTCCATTCATGCGCCCAGAACTTCCCCTGGCCCAATCCCATTTGAAAGACGAGAGCGGCTGGAGACGAGAAACCCCAAACAGCGTTTTCGATATAAATTATTCAGATGGACAGAAGCGCGGGAAAATGTGAGTGACCAGGTATTTTAATTTTGCATCTGATTGGTTGAGGTGGCAGTTTTCTGAGCCAACCACAAAGCGCCGTGCAGTTCCGGATTGCTTCGAAACTCAACTGCAAATTGCTTAGTCAGAAATAAGGTGTTGATGATCAGGCTCAATATTACGCTGGATGTCTTGAATTTTGATTCGTGTGATTAGTCTGTTGTTACGTTTTCTGAACATGATAGACATCCTAAACCACTCGTTTTCTCCTTTCTTCCCTGCGAAGGCTTGGTGGTAGATGTCAAAGGAGAGGTAATTGTAGGTGCAAATGGAAGATTTCCCTAGCATTTGTCAACACAGCGATCAAAGGGAGGCATGCGCAAATTTTAACTTTTGGCCTACCGCACGTCTATTACCCGCGCAAAATTTAGCGGAATTCGTGAAAAATCAACCCGTCTCGCAAAATTTGCGAACAGAGGTGAAATATTCAAAATCAATCGTTGGGAAAAGGAAAATCATCTAAGACTTTTCGAACTCAAAATTTATTCAATTGTGTCGATTTACCGTTTTGTCTTGGAGCTTTTTTAAGGATTCAAGGGTGTAGAATGAGGGGGGGGGGAAGGGAGATCCTGTGACCTCCCTTCATAAGCTTTTTTTTTGTCACTTCGAATAAAACATGGCGTGGAGGTCGACATGACAATCTGGCGCGTACCCTCTGTTTGACTCAGTGTGACCCCCTACTTTGAAAAATCCTGGTTACGCTCCTGAATTCTTTTACACCTTTAAAACCTCGTGATTTACATTCTTTTGTGGCAACTTGGTATTGACAGCCTAGAAGCATGCACATGCACATGCGCAGGCGTTTGAGCCCGGTGTTTCGCTCTTTGATTGACAGTTTTAGTTGGACCAGCACTCGATGTACATAACGGATATCTTGGACAAAGCATCAAATTTTAAGACATGAGGGAGATCTAAATGTATTTACCACTATGGAAAACTGTAGGTATCGCTTCATATATGAGGTGTAACAACTTCTTACAATTACACCGTGTAGAAAAAATATGAGGACCATCATTCACAAAAAAGTTTTGTTTTTTTAACCAGAAGATATAAATTATCTCAAGCAGAACTAAACTCTACATCTTGGTTCTATTTACGAATATTTACAAAAGCCTTTTTTTTTCTTTTCTTTAAACTTCAGTAGCTCAACTACCTCTTACAGCATCTCGAGTCATATGCGATGTCGCCTAGGAGTAAAATGTATACAAAGATGCGAACATTCAAACAAGAGTCGTATCTACTCATTCAAGCTTTAAAACGTTCATGACTTCCCACAATCTTTTTCGTGGAATTTCTTAGCTTATGTATTTCATGAGCAATGATCTGGAAGTGGGTTTCAACTTAAGTGGAAACAACCATTCAGTCAGAAAATTTCTTGTTTTGCTTTTCTCTGGACGATCACTTTGAACCATTTTACAAGACTTTCGATGACCCACGCCCAAATCGGCTGATACTCCAGGCTTAGAAAAATGACCACGACATTGCAGACACGTGAGAAACCTGTCCAAGTGAAACATGTTTGTAGCATTTGAAATCGACTATAGTTAGAAATAAATAATTGGGCGTTTTAAACGGTTTTCGTCCAAGCAGGTAAGGATTAACCATGGAAAAGTCGGATGCTTGAAAAGCTGGAAATTTGGTTTAGAAGCCAACGAGGAACAATATGACTCGATGGTGATCACAGCACGGGTTTAATCAGACGTAAATCTCATCCATCTAAGAAAAAAAGGAAAAAATATATAACTTATCAAGAATTATACCAATACAGAACCTCTTCCCTTTCAGAGAAAAAAATCTTAGCGCTTATGTATACTTACTGCTTTCAGAGAAGTTATTTGATTCAGCACCGCGCGATGGTGTTTGTGACTGTTAACAATGAATACTTGCCATCGACAAATTGAATAATGGTCGAGATAAAGCGATTTTTTTTTTCCTTTTAGATAAACTAGCATCTAATTTCTCCTGAAAATATAACCCCGGAATAAAAAATTAGGGTCACGAGCCATGAGGAAATGGTCACCAGATAAAGAAGCTCTGGATTGTGAACAGCACCTTTGGAAATGTTAAGACAGCAGTGTGGAGAATATGTATATTAATCTAGGATGTAAACGGTTAAATGGAAATACCACTAATGTTATATCGTATTTCTTATGAATGGACGATAAATGATTTATTTTTATTGTGAATATAGATACACTTCAGAATGTGAACCTCCCTAAAAATCCCATTATTTTTGGGTTATGGGAAAAAGTGTCTAAGCAAGACTTCCATTTTTTTTTTGGCTTGTACCTGAATAGCATTGTTTCACGCATTAAACGCTGCAAAAATACATTTGGTTGTGAAATTACATTTCGTTTGAGTGTGAAGGGAAATTTGGGATTGTGTTGATCGTGTTTCATTGCACCCTGTAAATGGTCCAGAAAACTTGCTCCAAACTCTGCCAACCAATCAGACACAAAACCAACACAAATAGTTCAAATAACTAATTAATGAACCGTTCCCTCGGAAGGGGCTTTTTCAGTGCCATCGCAAACAAACAATGAAACAAATACTTCACATCAAGAACAAGTGGTTGACCATTCAATCTAGCAGGAGGCATATCAGTTGGCTGTTTTCAGTACAAGCCAATGAGTTGAATTTTGGGTAACCGAGAACCAATCCAGGAAATGGCGAGATAGATATTTGAACCCAGGACCCGCATTTACCACACAGGTAGACAGTTTCCACTTAACCAAGCGTGATTCATTCACTCGCGTTTTCCCGCGCTTCAAGCGTTTGCTTGTTTTTCTTTGAGTTCTTATTGGCTACCTTAGAGATAACCTTTGATCTGATTTGTTATTGTGACTACTTCAATTTTAGTTACATCTACTGTAGGCTTACCGTGTGGTCAACTGATGAAAGGTTTTGTCTCAAATGAGGTGGGGTGGCGCGTCGAGTTTTCACTGAGGGAGTGAACACCAGAGATTTGGCTTCGCAGCCATCATCCATCTGCTCAACACTCCTCATGAATCCTGAGGGTGTGAATGGTGTGTCAGTGGTACTTGGTAGTCTCCTGTTGCCAGGAGTATGAGCTGAACGACGCCTTTCATGCTTTCTTGGGGAAACAAAATCTTTTGGATGAGACGTAGACTTAGTTCGCTTGTGTTTGATTGCAGGGGAGTCACCGGCATGGATCACACCTGAAGGTGTTTTAAAACCTAGTCTGGAGAGGAAGGGTGTACCTCTGAATACCGGCATTTTAGGCGTGAAGCAATCTGGAGAATCTACCACATCAAAAGCCACTCGTCTCTTCAGTGTTGGTGTACTTGTTACAGGCGTGTTCCTCCCTGGGATGGGTGACAGCGGAGTTCTTGTTAACTTTACTGCCGGAGACTCAGCTGAGTTTACCGGAGTTGAAGAAGCGAGATTTTTCACACAACTGGCCTGCAGTGAACAAAGCAGACAATATGGTTCGTAATGCAATTACCGTTTGCCATATGTTCACATAAAAAATGGTTTGCTTCTTTCGATAATCTTTTAATTTTAAATCTTTTACGCACTTTTATGCATAGAAAGGAACCGCTATTCACACTAAATTTTTAAATATTGATTCTGTTATTTTAGGGTTTCAATTCACCATTTATCATTGCAAGTATGAGCAAGTCTTCACCGGCAAAATCAAAACTGAATAAAAAGCAGATAAGAGTAGTTTACGAGATTAGGACTCGATTCGTAATGACACTGAAAAAGTCTTAAGAGAACTCGAGTTTTCAAAATTTCAGGGTGTGCGTTTAAATCTTTAGTCGGTTGCTCGGTCAATATCGCTCACTGCAAATGGACGCGTTTAGTCACTGAACGTTTCAAAAATACTAAAAAAATTAAATTACGAAACAAACCTTCTTTGAGCGCGGGATAAACGGAGGAGTGCCGGGATGCATCTTCTCAAACTACGATAAATCAAGAGCAGCAGTTTTAGTCCAAGAATATAAAGTAAATCCCGGCCTCTAGAGAATGTCTCTCCATCAAGCAACTCTGGGACATATAGAACTGACTCTGGAGAACAAACGCTGGGTCAAAATATATTTTCTCTAGCGAGGGTAAACGTGACCAACGCTCTACACGTAGGTTTACAACTAAAGAAATCGTTCTCGTAATTGAACTGCAATCAACCTTGCCTTTAAGACATGTGTTGATCCTTACTTCCCACTTAGCTGTTCGCAGCCACATGTCGGCAGCGAAGCAAATTTCAGTGGGTTCTTCGTTCTCTTGATGGAATACGATCACAGCTAACTGTGACACAAAGTTTTACGTTTAGACAAGATTTGCGTGTTCCTATCAGGATCAGCAATAACGTTATATTATCAAGAATGGCTTGTTTCGGGCTCAACTTCCGCCTGCAATAAAATCTCGAGTTTTTCCTAATGGGCTACTTGCAGTCGTTCACTTCTCTTGAAGTAAAAACACCTGCATGCCACACCCCATCTGTTTCCAATCTCTTCTCGTCCAATAGTAAAACCAAGCATGGCCCGTACGGCGAGATACACCGTGAGCGCCTAGCTACAGCAGTTTATTCATCGCATTTACACGAAACTCTCTAAACCCAAACGTTTTTTCAGTGACGACGGAAGAAAAAGGTCTGCTGAACGAGACATAACGAGAAACTGGAATTTTGAACGAGGAGATGGATTTATTTATGTAACTCCTATGGCATATCGGTGTAGATGACACGGAAACATCTTAATGGGACAGAAATGTTGGAAAAAAGCCCCCCCAAAAATTAAGCTCACAAAGTCCTGAATATTGTACATCATAGAATATACAGAAGAAAGTGTTTTTGATTAATTGATTTTCAAACTAAGACAGCTAAGTGAGCAGAGCGTTGGTAGCAAAAGACAGGGCATTGTCCCAAAAGACCACAAGTGCCACAGGAGATAAAATTTTGTCTTTGCATGACTCTGCTTTTAAGAAAAACTTATAAGAGCAGGACACCTCGGATTTGTGATACCAAAAGCCTCCTGAGGCACCAGATGAATCTTCTGATGAAGCAATTTTCGTCAGAGGGTAATTGTTCCTCTGTTCAGTCCCTAACTAAATTTTGAGCCACACCTCAAACAAAAAAACAAAATTTTCGAACCCTTTGTAAGAACTTCTGCCTAACAGGTCCATCAGGAAGGTCAATGACATGATTGTAGAGTTGCACCAAAGCATCTGTTGTAGTTTGTTGGACAGCTTGTTTATGAGATGATCGGTCCATTTGCTGACAAAATGTGCGAGTAACTGGCAGTTCCTCCTGTGGAAAGAAAAAAAATTACATTTGACATTTATCAAATTTCCTGACATTATGTGGAATGTTACAGGACCGTATTTCTTTACAGCATGTCTAAAGGAGAGACACCATATTTTAGTAACAAGTAGTTTTTGGGTGTGAAAGTTTTCTGGTCAGGAAAAAGAGAATGGTGATGGATTCTCAATACTTCTGGCCCTTTCACAAATTGTGCTCATGGAGTTCGGCATGATTAGCAAGTTTACCTCTGAGCAGCCAAAGAGACAAAATAGCAAGTCAAACTTTAATGTCGGGTCATTTCTCAGTATACTAACACAAATAAACTAGCATTTGAATTATTGGTTTCTGAGTGGAAAGTACAAACTAAAAACAACCATCAAGGCTTGAAATAATTTCCCAGATGGAATCAGTCAAGCTGTCTAGTCAAACCTATTTTTGCTCAAGACACAAGCCATTTTTGGCCAGAAAAATATCCATGTCTTGATAAATCCCTCTGTCCCAATACAGCAGTACTAAAAGCCTGAACTTACACTGTACATTGGAATTAATTTTTCCCCATACAGGCAAAAATTACCAAACAAAATGTCTGCCTGTACAAGAATTTGACGGACAAAACCTTCATTTGACCTGACATACTTGTAATATTTGTTGAACAGCTTTTATTTTGAGTCCTGATTATTCACCTTAGTGCTGGTGAAATTGGGGGATATCTACCTAACTGCTTTGCGGCTTAGTAAATATCCACCACTATTCACCCTCACTTCTGTCAGTGAATAATTGTTAAACAGTGGGAAGAAATTATTTGTCAGTCACTCCTGGAAGTGGGAGGTGTAAAGGAATTGTAAAGTCACATACTGTAAAATGTCATGAAATTGAATTGCACCCATATGGAGGCTGTCAACATTAATTAAGAGTACTTTGCGCTGATTATTCGAAGTTTAACCACAACTTAAATAACAAAACTGCTTCCTAAACGATCCTCAGTTTAGCTGAACCTTTAGTCTAAACATTTATTTTTGTGAACAGTGTCAAGAGAGCCAAAAGCTAACAGTGGAGAGACAACTATTTCATTAAATGAAGCCTCTTGTAGAGAAAACCCAAAGCCCACTGATAATAGGTAAAACCATGGTTTGGGTTGTACCTCCTGGAAGTAACTGGCCCTCAATCTTTACATCTGTACCGCTGAGGGTTTGAATCCTTACAGATGACTCATATTTAGGTCACTTAGCCCAGACCAAAATTTTTGACCAATTTTATATCTTTCTAAATATTTTATAACTGGTCCCTGTAGTTCTAAGGGTGGATAATGCTTTCCACTGGATAAATCACTACCCACTGGATGGCTCAGTATGGATAATGTAGTGTGTTTTGTTATACTTATCTGCTGGATAGGGATTTATCAGTTGGATAGCATTATCCACCCTTCCAACAGTCCGGCCCCAAGCATTAAAGTTATAGCTACAAATCCACATTTTTTTCATGGCTTTACAAAGTCATATACATGTTAATTGACAGAGGACAATTTATCCAGTCAATTGATAACTACACCAGGTTTGGTTTGCTTAAAAACAACTCACGCTTCCCTTTTTAAAACACTCCTCTGCTGCTTCAATCTCCTCCAACAGACCTTTGGGAATCTGTAAAGAGAAAATTCATTTACAAAAAAAGAAAAAGGAAAATCAATTTGGGAGTTTCCCAAAGATGTCGCAAAACCAAGAGGTTTGTCATCAAAGTCAGCTAAATTTAGCAAATCAGCATGATGATATCAAAAAATATAATTTTCATAAAATCAGAGGCAGCACATGCAGGCTGAGTGCAAGCTGTTTCAACAGCTGCACTGTGACCAAAACTAAACAAATTGTTGGGGCGATATTGATTTAGAGCACTCTAGGATTGTTGTAAAATCATAGGTAGACAGCAACCCTAACAGTCAGTCTAAGTGAAGATGTCTTTGACAAGGACCAAAGCAAACTCAAAGTATGAAAAAGCAAATTAACTGCACAAAGGATGAATAACTGAGAGTGATCTTGAAACCACAAATATTGCTTTTTATTTTAACTATTGTAGAAGTTAAGAGGGTGTTGCAAGTTTCCTGAATGAACCAAAGGGCAAAGAGAAGAAAAACCAATGCATTCCTGAATTAACATAAGGATTAAATTGAAAAATGCTAATAGTAGTCAGTCAGATACATGTACTAACCTTGAAAAGTTCAGAAGCATGATGAATCATGGAGGCAACCAACTTGTGCATAACTGTTATGTCTTCTGGAATGCGACTCAAGCATGTCACTTTCTGATTTTTTTCCAAATAAATGACCGGAAAGGACATAAGAAAATAGGTTGATTGGATTTTTCCATATTACACAATTTCTATGGTGCTGTTAAATTGTAAATACCTGTAGTTACAATCATTAACTGTAACAATAGAATGTGGATCTTGAATTCAAGTTTGCCTCAGTTGAAAAATTTATGGATCAAGTTACCCTATTCACCCTAATGTAAAAGCTACCAGACAGTAGGTACAGTGTATTTTCTCCACACTGTTCTCTACACATTTCCTATTTCACTGAAAGGGAGAATTTGTTTAACAATCAAGAGCATCTTAAGCTGTGTCATTAAAAGGGAAAATTTATTCAACAATCAATAGCATCTTGAGCTGTGTCATCAAAAGCAAGATAAATGTACAATACCTCTTTGAAGCCCATAATGTTGGGTGAAAAAACCACAGCAAGGTTGTGGGCTGTCATTTTATTGTAAGGATTCTTAGAGGTAAGATTAAGGAGTTCCAATAACTGCTGTAACAGCATTCTATTTGGAGGCGGCACCAACAAGAAGAGAAGCTGGAATGCTTCAATCATCTTAGCACTGGATTCATCATTACGGATCTCTACACAATCATAAGATCAGTTCATGGTTACCATATGGAAGTCATGTCTTTTAAGTTGTACAGTGTATGTAATAGAAAATAAATACTCTCAACATCAAATAGAAAAACTACAAATTAAACTAAAGGAACTTTAATAAACATAAACAAAAAAAAATTTGTTCATGCTCAGGATCGACACTACTTTCTCTTGTTTTCAGTGAGAAACTTTGGTTTTTTCAATTTTTTCTTATTGTTAGTTTTTGTAACGCAATTCACTCATGAAAATCATTCAATCTGTTTTCTTTGTTTTGACCATCTACTGCCACTTTTTGCCAGTCCATTACCCAAATTCTCCAAAAATTACGATCATTTTTAGTCCGCATGCTACAATTTTTTCTTATGTGGGATCAAAGAAGGCAATCCTGTAGCCAATCAAAACATAGGGTTGGCTTCATATTGCCCATGGGTGCTGCCAGCTATATATTAATTATTGATAAATAGGCTTACATGTATGCAAGATACAAATCAGTATCAAGGTTAACATAAACGGTTCTTATACACATTAAATTATAAGTTGATCACCAGAGGTCCTTCTGAAGTTTGGCTACAACTGAAAGTACAGTGCTGTACCTGTGATTTGTAAGTAAGCATCCAAAGGAGCATTTGTCAGAAGAGGTTCTGGGAGATCTCCGAGGAAGATTTTAAGAACAGATGCTACATCATGTGGAGTGAATCTTCCATTTTCAAAGTTAACTGGGTCTTCTTTGTCAAGTATTTCTTTTAGTTCCTCTTGTCTTTTCTTGTTGCCAGAAACTCTAAACAACCCCTCCTTGTCCACATCTGTAATAAAGTAACAAACATATTTTGATCAATGGCAAACAAATGGAATTAATTATACTCAGACAGCAATATTAGGACCTCGAGAAATAATAAAACTAATTCACCTGCACAGTCAAAACTTAAGCACATTTAAAGGGTGTTTTCAGGTCATTTATGTAGGTTACACTTCAGAATTTCAAGACTGAGTTAGCAAGAAATTCCTTTTAATTATTAATTATTAAATTGCAAAGTTTATGGAGGATTTTGTCTCCTCTTAAATGTACAGCACTTCATAAATATTTTAAGCAACCTGGAATTAATGACTTACATGACTTTAAGTAATTTATAAGAGTTGAGATTCTGAGAACAGCTTCCTCTGTAAGTGAATGGCCAAATATTTTATGACTCCCTGAAAGGAAAAAATCATCCATGCTAAGAATAATAATCAACAACCAAAGCAGTCTGGTGTACATGTACTGTGTCTTGATGTAAATCTGGTAGCCTGCACAATAACAAAGCTGGGAGTAAAGCCTATAAAAGTTTTTAAATAATGTCTAGTGATGAGATGAAAGGCATGGAGCTAAATGTCATAAAAATACTTCATCACAATTTTCATTATTGTTAATATTTTTTTGAGGAATATCAAGGAATAATGCTTACAATAATTCTAACATTGCTGAGCTTATAATTTATGGTTACTACAGTATTAGCATAATATAAATTAAAATTATTTCATGGACGATCAAGAGACTCAAACATACAGTGTATGTCAAGGTAGTTAGACTTTTCAACAATAGCAGAGGACTTGGCCAACCATTTTATAGAAGAGCTTACTTTTTTTAGGATTTCACTGATTAAGACAGTGTTATCGTGAACAGAGGCGCTCCAGTTCTCTTTATAAAAATAAAGCCGGCAATATAATAAGGCCTCTTATCACAGAATATCAGTAAGATTAAGCTAACAAATTGTCATTTGTCGAGCAGCAGGAAAAATTTTACATATTTTTCATAACACTTTGGAGTATTTTTTTAAAATTGATGGGAACTCATTCTATTAGCCTTTTTTTCACCTCTTCTGCTGATGATCTTGTTTATCTTTTCCGATGATTTGTAGAAAAAACTTTTCTGTGCAGGTTCCGAATTACTTTCGATCTCCAGATTTCTCGCGACATCCCCCGTGTGTTCAAGTTGTTGTAATTCTTCAAGCATGGTGATCTCCAAAATTCTAGTAAGTCGACTAAGGCACACCCTGGCATGAGAATCCTTGGAGTCTTTCTTACTCATTGTTTCATAGAAATTAGTAGCAGTCAGTTCCCAGTTTATCCGAATAAAAACTTCTGCTTTGGTATCACTTTCTCCTCAGTCAAAAAGACCGCGATTTAGTGACCTCGCCAATCAAATTTAACGGTTCAGTTACTGACCAATCAGAAAGCTCAAACTAGCTCAGCGGTTGTTAGAGCGGGCTCAGTTTCATCCATGATGGCGGTCGTCAGTGATCCCCGAAGTGTCTAGGTATTTCAAAGTGACAGAATTATCTTCTCGCCGATAAAGCTAATAATTGGATATGCCAGACAGAAACTTTTGAGCCTTTGCCTCAATCATGGCTTCAACTACTACCTCTAGGCCTTGTACTAAATTGCGCACGTTTCAAAGCCATGCGAAGAATGTTTTAAACTTGGCGCGCGCTGGAACGTGTTGCTGTCACTAAAGTCACGAGATTTAAAGAAATGCAGGTAAATAAGTTTTTTTCCCCCGTGGATCATAAATAATTGACGGTGTTAACGAATTCTGGGTGGCAAAAGATCGGCGTTAAGATCAAGAAGTCGTGCGTATCGGTCAGACTTCTGATTACTTTTTTCATCTGCTTCCTTAGGAAATATTTCCAAGCTCAAGTACGGTTGTATTCACCCTGTCTACTGAGTCAAAAACAACTGGCTACAAGTTAGCAACATATGCCACATAATGGCTTGAGAGGAAGAGGACACTGCAAATGGATTGAGTGGCTTTTATTTTATTGAATATACCAATACGTGACAGCTATCGAAATTCGATACGATTGCATACCATTGTATTGGATACAGCCACGCCATTTTGTCTACCGACAGAGACACATTCATCAGATTTTCCGGCGTTGACTGCCCATATTTAACGCTCTTCAAACATCCTGTTTGTCTGTGGCTTCTATCATGCCTTCCATAAGTCCTGTTCATTCGCTAAGTCCAGATCATGACAAGGAATCGAAAGAGGAAGATGATCAAACCACCGAAATTTCCGGCCATTTAAAATCACGGTTCTCTCCCAGTTCGACGTTCAGTGAGAGACTAAAAGCCGCCCGGAAACTGATCCCTTCGTACCCTGGTAAAGCAAAGCTAGTTCGATCAGTGAGTGAGAGCAGCACTTTGGCGACGAAGACAGACGAAGAGAGAATACATATTAGAGCAGAAAATGAAAGTTGCGCAACGAGTCAAGATTTTGGGACGTTTTTCCGGGAGCACGCCATCATGGTTGAATAGTGAGTGGGTTTTCTTCTTTTAATCTCTGATTCGATGACGAATTGCCAATTTTAAGTTAACCAATTTCTTTTGGACAATAATAATAATAAGGACTTTATTTATAGAGGGGGACACGTAACAGCTGAAAAGCTGACAAACCTGTGGCCCTCTAACTAGATTATACAGCATTACAAAATAATACTAATAAATAGATAAATATACAAATAATTACAAAATTCTATGATAGAAATAGCAGGATATATTAAAAATATTCAGAAAGATAAAATTAATTTATAAAAAATTAAAATTAGATAATGTGCTATTGCTTAATATTGTTTCAAAGTTGTCCAGGTTTCTATATGAGCTTATAAAATACTTTTTCACAGCTGTTTTGAATAGTTTTATACTAGGCTTATTTTTGATATTATGGGGAAGGCTGTTCCATAACTTAACTGCGTCAACACTGAATGCCTTGCCACCATCGTTATTTCTTAGGTATTTGGGACACACTAAATTTAAATTGCCATGTCTAGTAGACCTATTGTGTACAGAACTGTTCGTCTTGAGCAAGTCTCTGATGTAAATCGGAACATCGCCTTTAAGGCTCTTAAAAATCATTGTACACTTATTTAGTTTGATTTCATCAAAAAAAGGCAACCAGCCTAGTTTACTAAAGTTTATAACACTTCTAGAATAAGAGTCAACTCCAAGAATTACTCGGGCAGCCCTTTTCTGTAACCTTAGGAGACAGTGGAGTTCTTTAGCGTCGCAGATATTCCAAACCATGCTCCCATACATAAGGACGGGTTTAATCAAGGCGTTATAGTATAAGAGTCTTTCTTTTATTGGAAGGTATCTCTTTATCTTCTTCAATAAACCAATACGCTGAGAAAGCTTGGCCTTTAGACTAGAAATGTGGTCGCTAAATGTAAGATCTTGATCGAGTGTTACACCAAGCAATTTATAAGAAGTTACTTGTTCTATTTCGGCCCCATCAAGGGTTATTGACAGGTGATTGCCATCCGCTAATGATGAATGTAGCCTCTTTCCGGTGATAAGTAATGCATTGGTTTTAACGGCGTTTAGGACCATCCCATTTTCGCTAGACCATTTACTTAATTTATCCATGTATTCTTGAAGACGTCGTTCCAATTCCAAAGGTGCATTATCGATATTAGCGCTGGCTTTAAATGTGGTGTCATCCGCGTAAGCATGAATAGTTGAGTCCGATCCAACAGCTTCGGGAAGATCATTGACGAAAATTAAAAACAGTAGAGGTCCTAATATGCTACCTTGAGGAACTCCATTGGTTAGCGTAAGTTGTGACGAAGTCGAGTTATTTACAGTAACACACTGTTTGCGATTGAGTAGATAGCTCTGCAATAGCTTTACAACATTATCTGGAAATCTATATGATCTTAACTTTACCAGGAGAATGTCATGATTGATCAAGTCGAATGCCTTGCTATAGTCCACAAAAACTAAGCCGCTGACGTTGTTCTTATCAAGGTCAAGAAGGACTTGGTCCAGAAGAAACAACAAAGCAGTATCCGTGGAGTGGTTTTTACGGAACCCTGATTGGAAGCGGTATAAAAGTGAATTTTCTGTTAAGTAGGTGTTCACAGCATTGAAGATGTGTCTTTCAAAGACTTTAGAAAGAATAGGCAAAATGCTAATAGGACGATAGTTTTGAATATCTTGCTTGTTTCCTTGATTCTTGAAAAGAGGTTTAACCTTTGCTATTTTCCATTGTGAGGGAAATGTACAAGTTTCAATACAGTGATTTATAATTTTAGCTATGGAGCATGATATTTCAGGAGCTGCAATCCTTAGAACTCTGGCACCAAGCCCATCGATTCCCGTGGCTTTGTGTGTAGGTATACTTAGAAGATAATCGTTAACCTCACTAGGAGTTATTTGCGGAATAAGATTTTCAATTTGACTGTTAGATTTGTCTGGTGGACCAGGAAGAGCATCATAATGAAGTACAGGTGTCGACTTTATGAGACGTTTATATACATCAACGAAGAAGCGGTTAAAGCGTTCAGCGATTGAATGGTCATCCTTTATCAAGTTGTTGTTTTCGTCAGCAATAGGGACGGAGTCGTCGTTATTCTTTGTATCTTTAGATAGGTCTTTAATTAAAGACCAAAGTTTCTTTGGACATTTTTGATTTTTACTGAACTGAGTTTTAAAGTACTGTTCCTTCGCATTTCTTAGTTTCCTCGTCACTTTGTTTTTAACCAGTTTAAAAGCAGACCAATCTTGCTTATTTTGTGTTCTCCTGGCCCTCTTTAGAAGATTATCGCGTTTATTTATTTCGTTGTATAGATCATTAGTGAACCATTTTGGCTGATTGATTTTCTTCACACTCTTGGACTTTAAAGGTGCGTGATTATCAAGAATGTCATTAAAGATTTTGTACCAAGATTCAACAATGTCATCGGCATCTCGAAAAACAAAGGAGATATCCCAAGGGGCTTCTCTTAGGTCTCGCAGAAAGCACTCTTTGTTGATTTTGTCGATATTTCTGTATTTGATTTTGGAATGTTGTTTACGTTGTGCATCCATGGTTTTGTAGCACCTCAAGATGGTGACCGGAAGGTGATCGGAAAGTCCAGATTTACCTATGGATACTTCTCTAATTCTAGCAGGATGACTAGAATAAATATGGTCTAAGCACGCATCAGAGGCAGGTCTTGTTACCCCATTTACCATCTGCGTTAGTCCAAGACTGTTCAGTGCCTTTGCGAGACAATGTTTTGAATAACAGTTGAAATCAATATAATCCAAATTAAAGTCTCCCAGAATAATCAATTCATTGTTTTGGAGATGGGCATTTTCAATATTTTTACCCAAGCTCTCATTATAATCTTTGTTGGCTGAAGGTGGACGGTAAACACCAGATATCAAAATCGGTCTCTTTGATTTATGAGGACAAATTTGAAGCCAGAGAGTTTCAAGATCATCCAGTTCCAAATCTCTTCGACGTAAAGCCATAACTTTCTCATTTACATACGCAAATATGCCGCCACCTTTCTTCCCGATTCGATCTTTTCTGTGTAATGTGTAGCCGGGTATCATGTAATAGCTGTCTGGAATTTTACTTGATCCGAACGTCTCAGTGAGAATTAAGACGTCGAGTTTAGCAGCACTGTTGTTGTTCGAGGTGAGCATTAGCGATAGTTCTTCCAATTTGGTGTCAGTCAGTCGTTGGATGTTCCAGTGGCAGACTGATAAACCTCTGAAGCCTGCAGGTGGTTGAAGATTATTAGGCCCTGGATTGACGGCAATATCGCCAGATAGAAGAATGCACAGACAAAATTGGCCAAGCTTGATGAACCGCAACAACGCGTGAAGCTTCAAATTCAATTCGCAAGGTGTGCATTTCGAAGGCTTTGACTTACAGTTGAACGTATGTGGAGCAGATATTTCCTTCCCAATGAAGAGTGTAACTGTAGAGCGATCGAATTCAGGTGTAATTGAAGTAAATTGGCCAAGTAAAACGCTGAAAATAGTCAATAGAAGCACGACTGCAAAAATATGTCTGCACGCCATGACTAATTTATTCATTTTTTCAAACATTTTTTTAATGGTTTATCTATACGAGGGAATTGACATTAAGACTTAATGCACAAAGGAATGTAGGCAAAAACTTTGACTGGTAGAGGTGTAGGTGTTTATGTCATGTTAAAAACCCAGGACAATGAGATTATTAATATAAAAACAGTAGGATTGAAATAATGTAAAATACTTACGCTTGAAATTATAGTTTGGATGAATACTTGTGCA